ATGCAGATCTTAGCATCAGGGACACCTCGGCAGAGGCGGGACTTTGGGTCTGGCTTGTTCTTACAATACCGGTCACACAAGGCGGGGCGGCGGCCCGTGGCAACACCAGAATCTTCAGTGGCTTGCCGAAGGGAAAAAGCGCTTCTTCACTTTCTGCCATAAGGGTGGTGTCATCTCCGTATCTGAGATTATTGATGTTTCTCCTGGCAGTCTTGACTCCAGCTAATGGTACTCATCCAGCCCAGCATTTTTCATGATGTTCTCTGCATATAAGTTAAATAAACAGGGTGACAATATACAGCCTTGACGTACTCCTTTCCCTATTTAGAACCAGTGTCTTGTTCCATGTCCAGTTCTGTTTCTTCTTGACCTGCATAAACATTTCTCAAGAGGCAGGTCAGGTGATCTGGTATTTCCATCTCTTGAAGAACTTTCCACATTTTGTTGTGATCCACACAGTCAAAGGCTTTGGCATAGTCAATAAAGCAGAGGTGTATGTTTTTCTGGAACTCTCTTGCTTTTTCAATGATCCAACAGATGTTGGCAATTTGCTCTCTGGTTCCTCTGCCTTTTCTAAATCTGGCTTGAACATCTGGAAGTTCACAGTTCATATACTGTTGAAGCCTGGCTTGGAGAATTTTGAGCATTACTTTAGCTAGTGTGTGAGATGAGTACAAATATGCAGTAGTTTAAACATTCTTTGGTAGTGCCTTTCTTTGGGGCTGGAATGAAAACTGAACTTTTCCAGTCCTGTGGCCACTGCTGAGTTTTCCAGTATGCCAGTTTGCTGGCATATTGAATGTAGCACTTTCACAGCATCATTTTTTAGGATTTGACATAGCTCAACTGGAATTCTGTCACCTCCACTAGCTTTGTTCACAGTGATGCTTCCTAAGGCCCACTTGACTTCACATTCCAGGATGTCTGGCTCTAGGTGAATGATCACACCATCACAGTGTGGTTATCTGGGTCATGAAGATCTTTTTTTTGCATAGTTCTTCTGTGTATTCTTGCCACCTCTTCTTAATATTTTCTGCTTCTGTTAGGTCCCTACCATTTCTGTCCTTTATTATACCCATCTTTACATGAAATGTTCCCTTGGTATTTCTAATTTTCTTGAAGAGACCTCTAGTCTTTCCTGTTCTATTATTTTCCTCTATTTCTTTGCATTGATCACTGAGGAAGGCTTTTTTTTTTTAATCTCTCCTTGCTATTCTTTGGAACTCTGCATTCACATGGGTATATCTTTCCTTTCCTCCTTTGCCTTTCACTTCTCTTCTCTCAGCTATTTGTAAGGCCTTCTCAGACAATCATTTTGCCTTTTTGCCTTTCTTTTTCTTGGGAATGGTTGTGATCACTGCCTCTGGTACAATGCCATGAACCCCCATCCAAAGTTCTTCAGGGACTCTGCCTATCAGATCTAATCCCTTGAATCTATTTGTCATTTCCACTGTATAATCATAAGGGATTTTGTTTAGGTCATATCTAAATGCCTAGATAATCCTATCCTTGCCTAGAGAATGGCCAGAGGAGCCTGGTGGGCTACAGTCCCTAGGGCTGCAAAGAGCTGGACACAACTGAAACAGCTTAGAGAGGACCATTACTCACTCTGTAAAGTCTAGGATATTTTTGATAATATGAGGATAAGTATAAATACATTATCTATGACTGCCCAAAATAAATTAAATTGAATTTAGTTCAACAGGCATTTATTGACTACTCATTTTTACCCTGAAATATGTCAAGGAATAATACAGAAGGGAGCCTGGATATAAGACACAATCTCTGCCCTCAAAGGGCTTATAGGCTCATGAGCATAGACTGTAATAAAAGGCAAGATAAGGGATTTCAAATCAAATGCAGTAAATAATAAAGTGAAGTGATAGGAGTTTTGAAGGGTGGTTATTTCTGTATGGAAAGTCGGGGATGGGGGTGCATGTGAGCTAAGGGAAAGCAGAACAAATCAGTCAACTCAACGTTGGTGACAGATACATCCAGACTTCACTCCACTACCAAGAGAAAGGAAGACTGATCTGAGGAGCCCTGATTACAGAGGGTGTGGTCGAGAGAGTGAGGGTGTGGAGAGAGGAGTCAGAGTAAATGAACATTTTTGTAAGGGTGTGACAGAGGGTCAGCATCTGGTGGGACTGATCTGGTCCAGCGTATGAAGAGAATACTGAACACTCAAACTGACGCTATTATTATTATTGTTTTTGTTGTTATATTGAAGAATACACCTGTATGAATCACAGAAATCAGCAAAACTCCTAAGAAGTTGATGTCCTATAATAGTAAAAGAAACCTGTGCATTTCCAAGTTCATCACACTTTGACAATCCTGTTTTTAAAAATCCAGATACCACAAAAGTGATATTTTTTGATGGATTTCCAATGAGGTAAAGGAAATGCAATGATTAATACTTAGAAATAAGAAAAGGCACTTTTTATATTGCCTTTCTAAAGGCAATTTCTATATTTCTTCTCCAGACAAATGCTGTGAACCAACGCAAGCATTCCCTGAGACAGCATAGGCCACATTTATGATTTCAAGATTTTATTTTGCTTTATTTTGCAATTCTTTTCACCTAGGTTAATATGTTTGAATAATTGACACTCTATTAAAAGTATTTTTCCTTAGACTGCCATTACTCTTTTCTCACCCGCCCTTGACTTTTCCTCAGGGAAAGAAAGACAAATCCAAATAGGCAATACAAATATCCTTCTTCATTTAACTACTTTTTCATTTAAATATATCCCCTGGAGAGGGAATGGCTACCCACTCCAGCATTCTTGCCCGGTGGGCTACAGCTCATGGGGTCGCGAAGAGTCTGACAGGACGGAGCAACTACCACTTTCACCTTTTCACTTTCATTTAAATATATATGCCGTCTTCTTTCTGGAAAGAGTTCAAGGACCCGGAGCCGTCCTTTTAAACGCGGCCCGGCGGTTCCGGCGCCTTTGGCTTCAGTTCAGTGTCTGGCACATCACCTGCCTCTTGTTCTCGACTTCGGGCCCCGTTCTCTGCCGTCTCACAGAAGATGTTTTCCTCGGCAAAGTGCGCTGTGTTTTTAGCCGATTCCAGCAGACCTCCAGCCCAGGCCCCTTCTTTGTGTCTGCAGACAATGGGTGATTCCCAGACTCCGGGCGGCGTGGGGTGGGGAGCGGGGGGATACTTCCTACCGGACCGATCCCCAGACAGACTCGGCCCTCAACTCAGAGATTCAGAAGGCGGCTTGTCTGGGGCCTGGCGGCCCAGCCCCTCGGAGAAGAGCAGGCAGAGCCCGCCGGAGACCCAGCAGCCGTGCCCGCGTCGGGGCCTCCGCATCCCCGCCGCTCCCTTGAGAGGCTCCAGCATCCCTCGGCCTGGAGGTCCCGGGCGGCCGCGACTCCTGAGCCAGGATCCACAGTGGTTCCGCGGCCTCGATCCGCAGGGCGGGGTGGAAGAGCCGCGCCGCCAGATGTCAGGACAGCGGCTGCTAAGCGCCGGCCTCCGGGCAGCGAGCGCCCGGCTGCGCCCCGGGAGCCCAGCCCCGCCCGAGTGGGGACCCGAGGACGCGGCTTGGCCGAGCGGATCGGAGGCAACCTCAGCCCGGCTCCAGCCGCATGCACCTTCCGGGTCGCCGCAGGAGAAAGCCGGGGCAGGGAGAAAGGGCGGCGGCAGGGCGCCGCGCCCTCCGCCCTCTGCGGCCCGCGGGCTCTCCCAGCGAGCCGGGGTTGCTCTGCGCCCTGGGGGCCTCAGCCCTGAGCCCTCCGCCGCGCCCGCCGCAGCCCGGGCGCGGCCTTCTGGCTCTGTTACCAGGCACAGCCCCGCGCCCTTCCGGCTCCCAGGCTCTGCTATTTCAAGAATTTTCGGGGGGAAACGTGCCCTGGCGAGGCGCGGCCTGGATGCAGGGACCTCTGCCCCCTAAGGGTCTCCCCAGCTTTGCTGATCGCAGGGGTGCAGTGAGGGGCTGTTTCTGCCTCCCAAATTTACTCTGAGCTCGAGTCTCTCGGGAGTGGAGGTCCACATAATTCCACCCCATCCAGAGCAGTCGCGCTGTGTCCTGGGTGGGTGCGGGGCACTCGCGACGCAGACACCGAGATCCCCAGAGACGCGGAGTCTCTTGGCTCCAGGGCTTACGCTTGTTTTCTGGGTGGAACAGGCCTCTGAATTCCCCCCAGGAACGTCTCAGTAAGTAGGGGTGTGTGCGCGCGTGTGTGCAATGATCCCCATGACCTGACAGGTATGCTATTATTGATATAAGACCAAATAGACTTAAGTGCAATAATACATTGTGTACTTGTAGATACACCTTTAAAAATATATAATGAAATTTCTGCGATCTTGAAGATCGACTTGTCAAAGCACAGAATTTCCAGTCCTCGTTTAATTAAAAAACCTGCACTTCTGTAGAGATTCGATGGACATGTCTAGCTAGCACCTTTGGCATTCCAAATTGAATCTACGTTCATTTTCATAATAGAGTACTTGTCGGAGGGACTGCCACTGCAGGTCACTCTTCCTCAAAACTGTACCCTGCCTCAAGGCAGGGACAGTTTCCATTCACCTTTGAGTTTCCCCTGCGCCAAAGTATCAATAAATGATTAAGTGGTTACACCACTCACTCCAATCCTTACATTTTCTATAGATCCTAAAGCAGGAATGTAGGAACCGGGTGGTGGGGAGGAAAGATACCAAATAAAAGCGAACGACTTAGTAGTCCAAGCTGAGGCACATTTGCAAGACAGTGATAATGTTGAGAATCAATTTGTTAATCAAATCTTTTTGGTTTTAGGGCTATCTTGGGCAGGAAGTGGAAATGATCGACATTCTCCGGCCTTTTAAGCCAATAAGTGGATACATCTCTTTTGGATATATTTTGCTTTCTTTTCTCCTTTCTTTCTTTTTATATATTACGTGTGGTGTAAGGCATTATACTTGAAAATATGCCTTGCTGGCCTTTGATACCTTAGATGTTTTGGATTTACTGGTGGCTAATCTCATAGTTCTTATTTTTTATATTTTCACTGGCATCTGATGATAACATACATTGGAGAAATCTGGTTTAGATACCTAAAATACCTCACTTGGGAACATGAGCTACAAATACTAATATCCATTAGCTACCTTAATTGTTGGTTTTTAGCTCTCAGTGACACTTTTGTATCTTTGTTCCTTAGTCTTTGAGTGTACTCCACAGACTCTTCTCTTCGTAAATATTTGAAGAACCTGTGTTGTTAATAGGTAATATCAGCACACACATGCTGTATCATTATTTAGCTGATAATTGTTTTCATAAAGGGTTCATGTTGTGCCCACTCATACAATGGCAGTTAAACATTGCCATCACTGATGCATTACAAAACATTCATTCTGGACAACATACTGTCTAGAATGTTTTCTGCTAATACTAGAAATCTCTATAGATACCTCATCACTACCATTGTTCCTGACTTTCTGTAGACCAGTTGTAAGGAAGATATGCCTTTTGTCTAACTTTAGACTACTACAAAATATTTTAGTCTGAACTTTACGCTTAAGCACTTGAACTTTTGTTCTACTTCTATTCTGTTCAAGTGCCAAGTATCCATTCTTTTCAGGTTGTAAATAAAATATGGTTCAGAAGACCATCTCTATTTACAGCGCCAGGAAAAAATGCTGTTAAACTTATAACTCTAGATAACCTTATTGTTTTGTTTTAGCAATTTTACCTCCGTTGTGATTTTTAATGAAGTCCTTATTGCTGTCTTTTTTTTGTCTTGACCTACTTTCAAGAGCTTTCATATACAATGTGTATCAGTGTTGGTGATTTCTGTAGTGTGTAGGAGAGTCTTAAATCGCGGTGGAACAGATTAGTTGGCTATCATTTATTCCAGAAATGTCTTCGTGGTTTCAAATCACCTGGTTTCAACGTCCACAGTTTCACAGTATGAAATCTTTTAAGCTCCGCTTTTCATGGGTTTGCTCCGTTCTCCAGAGTGAGGACTGACTGGACCTCATTCTGCTGTGATCCAGTTGTTATTTTTCTTTGTTGCCTCCACCCCCGAGAGATTGTATTTCCGAGGGAGAGGCGTTCTTGGGCTGCAGAGGAGAGTGGGACGAGATCTGGCGCCTCAGGCAGCAGGAGGAGAGCTCCCCTCCCCACCCCGTGAGAAGTTGGGGACAGGTTTGACAGTGCGGCGTCTCGCTCTGGCTCTCGGGCTCGCGGTCCATGGGTAGGTTTTACCTGCTCCCACTCCCCTGCCTCTGGCCTGCCTTCGGGCCAGTCGCAAATGCAGCCCTTCTCCCACGCCGCCCAGAGCGCCCCCTCACCCGTCCTCTTGGGGAGCTGGGACGAGTGTCCGCAGCAGACTTCGGGGACTGGGGAGAGCCACGCCGGGATCCGGACGCTCGAAAGGGCAGCCCCTCCCTAGGCTTTTCCCCGCGTCGCGGCGCCCACGTGACCGAGAACAGGCCTCCGCCGGCCCGCCCCCTTCGTCCGCTGCTGCCCACTTCCCGCTCGCGGTAAGTAAGCCGCGGCTTTCCGCACCGCCCAACCCCGCCCTCCTGCTTTCCCCTTCCCCTCACCTCCCTCCGGCGGCCTCGCGCCACGCGGCCCGCCCCCGTCCTCCCCGCCGGGCCCTTTGTACGTGCTCGGCGGCGTGCGAGCGCGCCAGGCACGTGACCCCGCCGAACGTGGCATTGTGTTATCACGTGACCCAGGTGCGTACGCGACGGAGCGGGGTGTGAAGATGGCGGACGAGGAGGCCGAGCAGGAGAGGTTGAGTCGCGGCGGAGGCGGCTGCGCCGCGGAGCTGCAGCGCCTGGGCGAGCGGCTCCAGGAGCTGGAGCGGCAGCTGCGGGAGAGCCGGGTGCCGGCCGTGGAGGCGGCCGCGGAGTACTGTCAGCAGCTGTGCCAGGTGAGGGCGCCTGGGGTCCCCTCCCCCTTTCCCGCTGCTGGAGGGGGGACGAGGGCGAGCGAGCGCCTGGCGGCCGAGCGGTGGTCGGCGCTGCCTTGGCATCGTCGGCGCCGCCGCCCGGGCGGGAGCGGGGAGTACCAGGAAGGCGCCTTTGTGTGGCTGCCGTTGTGGCGCTTGTTGTCGGCTGCTCCCGGCTGGGGGAAGGGAGTTGTGGTCAGGATGGAAACCCCCCCTCCCCTCTCCTTCCCCGAACTCGGGACTGCGCGGTCCCCGAGACCGAGAGATGCAGACGGCGAGGTCTGCAGCCCTCGCCGCTGTGGACGCGGGTAAGCCGGGAATGGAGGCCAGGTTCGCTTCCTCCTCTTATTGTGCACCGGGGATTACCGCGCCCCGCGCCTCTGCGCCCCTGCTCCCCACTCCGACGGGCCTGCGCCCCCACTGGTTTGATTGCTTTGCCTCCGCTGGCTTGCTTTCATCTGTCCCGCCCCCCGGTCCCGTTCTCGCTGTCTCCCGGCCTTTGTTGTTCGAGTTTCGCTTTAGGACTGAAGGGGCCTTTGTTGATGTTCCGAGGAGCAGTCCCCGCCGACCCCTGCCAGCCGGCGAGACGTTCGGGGGTGGGGGAGCGGGGGTCGTCCCCTCCTGCCTTTACTTGCTAGGAGCCCCGCTTCCTTGGTAAAGGCTGCTCTCCTCGGCGGAGGGGAACCGTGTGTGTACCCTCGGGTCGAATGTCTACGGGGTGGCTTCTCCGGAGCCCCTTCTCTCTTGCTTTCACCCGTGGAGGAGTGTGTGTTCCTGCCTGCCCTTCCTCCCCGGTCTACCCACCCCTCTATTACTTGGAGCCATCCCTGTTTGGCCTCCCGGTGGAACGGAGGTTATGTGGAGCCGTGCTCAGGTCAGTTTCAGGCCTTGCCCTCCTTTTTTTTGCAACAAGGACACTGCTTTCCAGTAACTGCGTTCTAACAGAATTTGGAATGTTAATAGCACTGTTTGCTTGATAGAAATCGGGGAGTTTGTGTCTACATTTGGACTTGATTACATACCCTCCAGTTCAGTTTGAAATTTCAAGGTGCTGCTGCTGGCTATGGTGAAGATTTTGGTTAGATTATCTTCTTGAGGAAGCAAAAGAGTTTCTAGGGGTCGCATTTCGAGTTAGCTTGTGAACATATTATAGAGAAGTTGTTTAGGAAAGATACTGAATTTAAGGTGAAACAATGGTGGGCCTTTTTAGCATGTCAGAGTCGATCACATTTTCACTTAATTTTTAGCCTCCACGCTCTGAAATCTTTACAAGATCAGGGATACTTGATCCCATACTCAAAATTCTCCATTGTTATTTGCACCTTATTGTCACAGATTATTTGATAGTAGTTTTTTTTCTTGAAACAAGCAAACCAAAAACAAATTTGTGAGACCGCAAGGTGACTTTCTGGGAATAAATGCAATGTGAAAGCCACCCACTTAAAAGGTAATATAGGTCTGGTGAATACCTTTGCCATAATTAGAGATTATGTCATTCCTTTGAATCCTAGGTTTATAGAACTGTTGAAATTTACTAATCTCACTATCCTGACTGTAACCACTCATTCCTAATTGGCCTTGTAGATATTAAAGTTTATCTTAGATTTTGTTTTTAAAGCCACAAAACTTCAGTAAGAAATGCATAAAAGGAGCTCTTTCATTTGTAAGTGAAGTTAGCTTTTTAGTCCGTGAAAAGTGTATCTTTGCTGAAAGACGTTTTTCAAGTAGCAGTTTCCACTGATGGATTTAAGGCTGATTACTGTAAATACTCTTGGACAGCTGTAATTATAAGCAGAATTAATAATTCTGGGAAAGTGAAGTCTCATACAAGTTGGTCTTCATCTGGAGGCTGTGCAACATAGATACTTGTCACTTTAAAATGGTTTTTAATGCCTGAAAGCAGTCTTCCTTTTTGTCAGCATGAAAGAAACTTCCTGTATCAGTTTTTAAGTGTTTAGTCTTACAACATATACATTGTTTTTACTGACCAGTGCTACTTGAAATAGTAATAAAACAAATGCTGGGTTTGTGATTTTCAAAAATGATTAAGTATTGCAGGCACTAAAATCCCACAATAATGTAACTGCATTTAAAAGTGATCTCCATTATTGAATATGAGGGTGTATCTGATGTTTCAGATCTGCTGTAGAATGTTTTCTCTGTGTGTGTGTGTGTGTGTGTGTGTGTGTGTGTGTGTGTGTATTTGGTTACCTTTTGGTTTTGCTAGATGGGAGATAACTGGAAACAATTGTTTCTTTAAAATTGTATCATAGCCATGGTTACTTAACGTTTCAGGTAGGAGTTGAGCAGAGCAATGGTTAACAATTGCAGGATTTATTAGAGCGGTCTAAAAACAGTGCTAGAAATACTAGGAGCTAGAAATTGCATCTACCTTTATTGTTTAGCTTTTCTATCTGAGGTTTCCTTGTAAAACGGGGATATTCACACACTTCAGGAAGGCAAAGATGGGTAAATATTTGTCAGAGTTAGTGTGCTTCAGAGTTAGCATTCTGTGAGTGTTGATGCTTGGTGCTTGTGGAACCCTCACTGTTGCATGGATTTTAAAATATGAATTAGTTTATATCCTGAATTTTTTATCTTAACAAAAGGTGAGTTTCTGGAGAATGTAGTGAAACCGACGGAAATAAAGTTGCTTACTCTTTTCTGTTAGATTTTTCTTTCCTTTTGAATGAGGTTTAGGAGAGTAACAGATTTCTTTCTGAGATGTAAAATAGAAATGAGAAATGTTTAAGTTTTTCCTATTGTTAACAGTATTGTTTTGCTCTTTATATTGGGTTGCTTCCTGGAAGCATGACCTGCTTTTATATGAGCATTTGCTTTAAGTACTTTTATTTTAAAAGTAAAAGGAGGGGAAGGTGGTAGATATGGGCACAAGGGAGTGTCTGTAAAGAAAAATCTTAGGTTTCTTTACATCTTTATAAGCTAGTTGTAATCTGGATAATGCTTACTTGTTTAAAAACCAAATTAGGATAAAAATATCTGTATCATTATTATATATAAAAACTGATTGTATTTGGGACTTGGGACTTTTTTGTATTAGACCAGACCAGCATTCACTCACGAATTCAGCATTGTTATTGAACACCTGCACGGGGACCAGTCGGCCGTGAGCGTGGTCCTTGGCCACAAGGGTTCTACAGTCTCTGGAGAAAGACAAGTAATTGCAGCAAAGTGTGATTTATATCTTTTATACAGAACACTGTTTATTTGGAAGTTTTAGCAGAGGCATTCCAGTAGAAGAATTGTTCTGAAAGGATTTTTAAATGATTGTTCATGTAAAAACTTATGGTATTGTAGTAGTTGAAGAATGAGTTGTTGGAGCGTGGTGTTTGTTGACAGCATTATATACCTGACTGGATGACTGCTTGATGAATGAGTAATGACTGGTTTTTGGTTATTACCAAAACTGATAACCACTTTATTTATTTTTTTAAAGATTTTATTTATTTGGCTGCGCAGGGTTCAGTTGTGACATGAGATCTTCAATCTTCGTTGCTACATGTGGGGTACTTAGTTGTGGCACGCAGGATCTAGTTCTTGAATTGGGAGTGTGGAATCTTAGCCAGCGGACCACCAGGGAAGTCCCTAATAATTACTTTAAAAAGTGAAATTGCTGTTGTGGAAATTCAGTTGCATATCATACACACACACACACATCTCATACCTTTGTTCATACCATAATTCATATAAGCAGTGCTTCTCAGCTAGGCGTAGTGCTTTTTCCCACTGCGTTTCTCTATTCAAGGACATTTGGAAATATGCGGGGTCAGTTGTTTGGTTACTGCAGTGAATGGGGTTGTGATAAGTGGCATTTAGTGCTCATGGGCCAAGGATGCTACATTTTCTGAAGTCACCAGGACAGTTGCACACTGCTGAAATGTACCCCTCTGCCTAAAGACCCACAGTGCCCTTTTGAGAAACAGTGGCAAGAAAGAAAAGGGATGCATTAATGTTTTTGACTGTTCCGCTCTTCTTATGTTAATACAGGTATACTGGGCTTCCCTGCTGGCTCAGACAATGAGCCGCCCGCAGGCTGGAGACCTGGGTTTGACCCCTGGGCTGGGAAGAGCCCCTGGAGGAGGGCAGGGCAACCTGCTCCAGTAGTCTTGCCTGGAGGATCCCGCATGGACAGAGGAGCCTGACAGGCTGCAGTCCATGGGGTCGCAGAGTCAGATATGACTGAGCAACTAGGCACATAGGTGTATTAGGAAATGTAGTTAATCTGGAACAGATCCAGGCCAGTGCTTTCTAACCATTGTGTAAATGCACACGGAGCTTCAGCACACATTGAACTTAAGCATTTCTACTTTCTTAGCAGAAATTACCAGCAATTACTTAAACAATTACTCAAACAATTCACTTTTACTAGGTTAAAAAGGGTGGCAAATTAAGCATACTTAGTTGACCTGATTAAAGCAGAGATTTGTTGACCTTTTGATGTCACTGAAATTCTATGCTTATAAGAAGATACAGGAGACTAGTAAGAAGTAAACAACTAAGATTTAAACATCACTTTAGGTACACGCTTGGCCGTCCAGTGGTTGGACCCGGCTTCCACTGCAGGGGGCGTGAGAGTCAATCCCTGGTCTCACAGGTGAGCTAGGATCTCGTATGCCAAGTGGCAAAGCATCGTTCCCTCCCCACCCCCCAAAAAAGAAAAGATTGAAATGTCACTT